CCACTACACCTCCAATTTTGGTGTCATCTGCAAACTTACTAACCATACCTGCTATGTTCACATTCAAATCATTTATTTAATTACAAAAAGCAGCGGACCAATCCTTGTGGCACACCGCTGGTCACAGGCCTCCAGTATGGGGAGAAAGCAGGAACAGGAGAGAGAGTTGAATGATCAGCCATGATCATATTGAATGGCAGAGCAGGCGTGAAGGGCCGAATGGCCTACTCCTGCTCCTATATTCTATGTTTCTATGTTTCTTGAACTGCTGCAGGTAGACCCACAGTGCGACTGGGGAGTGAGTTCTAAGATTTTGACCCTGTTATACTGAAAGAGCTCTGTAAGTTCCCCATCAAGCCACTGACCATCGTGACTTGGAAATATATCGCCGTTCTTGCACTATCGCTGGATAATCCTGGAATTGCCCCCTGCAATGGCAGTTTGGGCATACTCCCACAACATAGACTGCTGCAGTTCAAGAAAGCAGGTCACCACCAGCTTCTTAAGGGCAATTAGGGATAGGCAGTAAATGCTGGCCTAATCAGCAACACCTACAGTGCCTGAATAAATTAAATAAATAAAGAACACAGATACACACACAGGGTCCCACATTTACACACATACGCTCACATACATAAACACTCAGTCTCATACTCACTCTCTTACAGCCTATATTATTGATCATCCAAGCTTTGGAACATTGGAATGTAGGAAATAGCTGGATAAAATTAAGAACAGTGTCCATCTCTTTACCCTTCTACATTCCTGGATAGTCACATAGTCCAATGATAATGGGGCTCACGACAAATCATCGTCATCAGTCTCTATCAATGAGAGCAGACATGAACTGAGATTGATCATGGGGGAGAACTTTGAGAACCATAGGTTTGTCGCCTGTTCCTCACAAATCATATCAGAGCCACCCAACATCATATCTCAAATTACTCAGACAATGGAGTAACTCAGCCTTGCTTCTTCGTGAAATAAATCTAACTTTTATTTGAATGAAACAATGCTCTCTGCATGCCCCTGTTCCACAGGTTGACCGCTCACTCAGTCAAATACACAGATTTATCCCCCTTTTAACCCCAAGGACTCCATTCTGTTTGTCTGTCCTCCCTGCCTTCCCTCTCTCACATTGGCCAACCAACTCCAACTTAAAGTCCTCATCCTTGTAATTAAATGCTGTCATGTCTTGCTCTTATCTGAATTCTGCATCACCACCCCCTCCAGACACTGTGCACCTCTAACTCCAGACTCTTCAACAGATCCTGCCTTTGTTATCCATACCTTCACCTTCGCATGTCCTGGCATATCTTCCCAGAACCTTTCCACCTATTTCCTTAAGATACTCCATAAAATTAGCTCTGACAAAATGTCATTCAACTCTGATGAAACGGGGGAGGTGATGGCCTAGTGGTAATGTAGATGGACTGTTAATCCAGAGACTCAGGTAATCTTCAGGGGACCTGGGTTTGGATCCCACCACAGCAGATGGTAGAATCTGAATTCAACTTTTAAAAAAAACCTGGAACTAAGAGTCTAATAATGGCTGTGAAACTGTTGCTGATTGTTGGAAAAAACCATCCGTCTCACTAATCTCCTTTTGGGAAGGAAACTACCATCCTATATGTGACTCCAGACCCACAGCAATGTGGTTGACACTTAACAGTCCTCTGGGCAATTAAGGATGGGCAATAACAAAAAGAAATCTCTCTTACTCTTTATCCTTGACTCTTTTATGTCTTTTTTGTCCCTGAACCCACTAATGAAGGTTTTAGGGAAGTCTACCTGGGTTAATAATGTTTAAGTATAAATCCAGGTTACTGCTGTTGCATGGTAGCTATTGATTTATGTGGGGAAACACCACCATCTACTGGCTGATGAAGAAAAAGGATTCCTTTTCCATGTCCATACAAAATAAAAGGTGGTTAATCAGTCCTGTAGCTGAATGCTAAGCCCAGACAGAGATCAGGGAAATCCCAATACTGATCACTTGTCTACGCTGATCAATTTAGCAAAAGGGGTTTGTCGAACCAGAGGGCCCAATCATCTATGATTCTTGTTTCTGGTCATCTGTATTTATTGTGGAGAAAGACATGGAAGCTAGGGAACTCAGGGAAATTAATAGTGATGTATTGAAAAGAGTCCACATTATAGAACAAGGGGCGCTGGATGTTGTAAAAAGCATAAAGTTAGTTAAATATCCAGGACCTGATCAAGTGTATCCCAGGACATTGTGGGAAGTTGGGGAAGATGTTGCGGGCCCCTAGCAGAGGTATTTTTATCATCCACAGCCATGGGTGCGGTGCCATAGTACTGGAGGGTTGCTAATGTTGTGACTTTGTATAAGAAAGGGGTGGCACGGTGGGGCTCAGGGGTTAGCACTGCTACCTCACAGCACTAGGGACCCGTGTTCAATTCCCCCCTCAGGCGACTGTCTGTGTGCAGTTTGCATGTTCTCCCCGTGTCTGTGTGGGTTTCCTCCAGGTGCTCCGGTTTCCTCCCACAGTCCAAAGATGTGCAGGTTAGGTGGATTGGCCATGCTAAATTGCCCGTAGTGTTCAGGGATGTGTAGATAAGATGGATTATAGGGCTGGGTCTGGGTGGGATGCTCCAAGGGTCATTGTGGACTTGTTGGGCCGAAGGGCCTGTTTCCACGCTGTAGGGATTCTATTCTAAAGGCTGCAAGGAGACACCTGGGAACTATAGACCAGTGAGTCTGACATCAGTGGTGGATAAGTTGTTGGAGGGGATAGTGAGAGACAGGATTTATATGCATTTGGAGAAGCAAGGACTGACTAGGGATAGTCAGCATGGCTTTGTGCTTGGAAAAATCAATATCTCACTATCTTGATTGAGTTTTTGAGGATGTAACCCAGAAGATTAACGAGGGCAGAGCAGTATACATTGTCTACATGGACTTTAGTAAGGCCTTTGATAAGGCTACACATGGTGGGCTCATTAGCAAAGTTAAATCACGTGGAATCCAGGCAGATCCTTCCAATTGGATACAAAATTGTCTTGACAGTAGGAGACAGAAGGTGGTGGAGGGTTGTTTTTTGGACCGGAGGCCTGAGATCAGCGATGTTCCGCAAGATCTGGTACTGAGACTACTTTTGTTTGTCATTTATATAAATGATTTGGATGAGAATATAGGAAGCATGGTTAGTAAGCTTGCGGATGACACCAAAATTGGTGGTAGAGTGAAGAAGGTTATCCAAGCTTACCAAAGGGATCTTGATTAATTTTGTCAATAGACTGAGGAATGACGGATGGAGTTTAATTGAGATAAATGTAAAGTTTGCATTTGATAAGACAAACAGGGGCGGGACTTTTACAGTTAATGGTAGGGCCCTGGGGGACTGTTGTCAAACAGAGAGGCCTAGGGAGTCAAGTACATAGTTCTTTGAAAGTTGCGTCACAGGTAGACAGGGTGGTGAAGAATGTGTTTAGCATTCTTGCCTTCATTGCTCAGACCTTTGAGTAAAGGATTTGGGACATCATGTTGCAATTGTACAGGACGTTGGTGAGGCCAGTTCTAATCACCTTGCTATAGGAAGGATATTATTACATTAGAGAGAGTACAGAAAAGATTTACTAGGATGTTACCGGGACTAGACTTATAAGGAGGGGCTGGGTAGGCTGGCACTTCTTTCACTGGAGAGTAGGAGGTTGAGGGGTGACTTTAATTGAAATTTATAAAATCAGTTCAAAACAAGAGAGCATAATTTTAACATGAGAGGAGAAAGATTTAGAAGGGACCTGAGGGATAACGTTTTCACACAGAGGGTGGTTCGTATGTCGAACGAACTGACAGAGGAAGTGATAGATCCAGGTACAGTTACAACAGTTAAAAAGACATTTGGACAGGTAAATGAATAGGAAAGGCTTAGGGGGATATGGGCCAAATGCAGTCAAATTTGATTAGTTCAGTTTCAGAAACTTGGTTGGCAAACACAAGTTGGACTGAAGGGTCTATCTCCGTGCTGTATGACTCGATGACTCTATGTCCCCAGTGGGAAGTCCACAATACTTCTACAGTGATGCCCTTCATAGTGCAACAGACTGTTGTTACTCATTTCCTAGGCATTACACATTCACCCAGAACAGGCACCCGAGTAAGGTCCTAGACTATATCTGTATCTTGCAGAGCTGTACCCCAACCTGTGCGATCAATCCGAAAAACATCTCCATTTCTAAAGCTACTCTAAGGACCTGAGGATCTCCCAAAACACTTTACAGTCAATGTGTTTGAAGTGACTGTCATGATACAAGAATTGCAGCGGCAAGAGGCACACAGAAATTTCCCACAAACAGCGTTGTGAGAATTTATTCATTATTCACTTGTGGGATGTGGGCATCACTGGCCGGGTCAGCACTTATTGCGCATCCCTAGTTGCCCTTGAGAAGATGGTTGGGAGCTGCCTTCTTTGAACCACTGCAATCATTCGGTGCAAATATCCAATCAATATAGTGAAGGGGGGAGTTCCAGGATATGGACCCAGCTGAAGGAACAATCATATCTTTCCAAGTCAGGATGGTGAGTGGCCTGGAGGGGAACTTGCAGGGAACGGTGTTTCTGTAGATCAGTTGCCCTTGTCCTTCTGGATGGTAGTGGCCACAGATTTGAAAGATGCTGTTGGGTTTAACAATGTTGATTCAGGAGTGAAAAATGGCCAAAACAGCAGGGAGTACACAGCAAAGTAACATGACAGAATTACTTAACTCAAGATTTCAGTGTAGCATCTTACCTGAAAGATGGCATATCAGACAGAGCAGCACTCCCTCAGCGCAGCACTGTGAGTGTCATTCTGAGTTCATTTTTTAACTTCTGCATTCATACTGGAATTTGAAACTCTCCCCTCTGTCTCAGAGGCTAGAGTGTTATTCAACGAGACACAGGCATGTCACACAGTTAAGATTCACCATTGCACCCAGCCTCCCACCAAAGCTAGCATTACTAAGATGCGGAGTAGTATTTATGGACTGGACTGTACCTTCTCGTATTGCAGTGCATGGAGCTCCCTCTTCATGTTCCAGTCGGATCTCCTTCAGTGCCACCAGGTTTTCAGTTAATTTGCTTCTACCCTTAAATACTGTGGCATAAGTTCCCTGAAAGAATAACATAGAAATACTGAGAAAACTGGAGAAAATGTGCTTATCTCTTTTGAGCAGAGAAGCTTCAGGAGACATTTACTCAAATGGTACCAGAGAGGAGAGATTTCAGGAAAAAGAAGAAACTGGAAAATTTGGAATTGTTTTCTATCGGGCTGAAAAAGTTATGAGGAGATTTACATCAGGTGTTAAAAATTATGAAGGGATTTTGTAAATGAGATAAAGGGGAGCCTGTTCCCACCAGCTGGAGGGTCAGTAACCAGAGGACACAGATTGAAGATAGTTGGTGAAAGAGTTAGAGGGGAGACGGGGATTCATTTTCTATATGACGTTTTCCTACAATCTTGAATGTGCTGTCTCGAAGGGCAATGAATAAGAATTCAATAGTCATTTTCAAAAGTGAATTGGATAAATATTTAAAAGGGAAACACTGCAGAGCTATGGGGTATCATGGAATCATAGTGTGCAGAAGAGGTCCTTTGGCCCATCAAATCTGCACTGACACATGAGAAACAGCTGACCTTTGATCTAATCCCATTTACCAGCATTTGGCCCATAATCTTGAATGTTGTGATGTCAGTGGGGTGTGGAGCTAACTGGCTGGTTCATTGAAAGGGTGAGGACATAAGAGACATGGACAGGGTGGATAATAAGAATTTTCCCAGGCTGGAAATTTCAAATACCATGGGGGTATAGGTTTAAGATGAAAGGGGGAACCTATAAAGGAGATGTATGAGGCAAGTTTCTTTTACACAGAGGGTGGTAGGTGCCTGGAATGCATGCCAGGGAAGGTGATAGAATCAGATACTTTAGCAATGTTTAAAAGGCATGTAGACAGGCACATGAACAGGCAGGGAGTACAGGGATATAGACCAAGTGCAGGTGAATGGGATTAGTTGAGAATGGCATCTTGGTTCCTTTGCTGTACTGATCTATGTCCTATATTCTACAACAGAGGGACTGTGTGGAACAGTTCTGTTCTTCTCTGGATAATTCAATGATACAGTGAGATTGAACCAAACCATTTGCAAGATACCCCGAACCATTTCTTGACACCTCCTTCCAAACACTTGACCTCTGCCGTGTAGAAGGCCAATGGGAGCAGAAACATGGGAACACCATCAGTGCTAAACATGCAGGCTGTATTTCAAGGTTGTGGGAGGGATGTGGGGATGAATGAGGCTCCAGTTATCACAATCCCAGGAAGTCCAGCAAAATCCCTGAGGATATCCTGGATAAACACTGCCTTCATTGGCTAGGAGTGAGTTTGATTTGAGCATTAAAGAGTTATTTGGTCATACAGAACTTGAATATTGTTGAAAAAAGATGTCTTTGTTGAAGCTTTGCACCTTGCACTCATCAGGACAATTCACAAGAAATACCAAAGCGAAGGGAAACAACAGACATAAACATGTTTCTTCCATTTACATTGGTATTTTTGTAAATTGTCCTGATAACAGGAAGACAATAAGCTTTGAAAAATAAATCTCATTTGGTTATAAATGTTCTTGCAAGCATACAAGATTTTCCATAAGAGTAGAAAGTGCAAGGGCTTTTTTGACATTCATAGAATTCTACAGTGTGAATGAGGCCATTCAGCCTATCATACCTAGCCAGCTGTTTGCTAGTGCTTTCCAATTAACCTTTAAATATTTGGCCAATTATTTTTGAAGGTTACTATTGAATTGCTTCCATCAATATTTTGGCAGGGTATTTAGTCCTGGCCATAATAACTCGAAAAGAAAATTTCCTCAAATTACCTCAGGACTTTGGCAAGGCACCTTAAATCTTTGCCTTCTGCTCATTGATAGGATAGAAATATACAATACAGTGCTAACTTGTTTTTTCTTTATTCATTCACAGGACATGGGCATCACTGGCTAGGCCAGCATTTATTGCCTATCCCTAATTGTCCAGAGGGCATTTAAGAGTTGACCACATTGGTGTGGGCCTGGAGCCACATGTAGGCCAGTTTCCTTCCCTAAGGGACATTAGTGAACCAAATAGGTTTTTCCAACAATTGACAATGGATTCACGGTCATCATTAGATTCTTAATTCAAGGTATTTATCGAATTTAAATTCCATCTTCCATGGTGGGATTTGAACCCAGCTTCTCCAGAACATTGGCTGGATCTCTGGATTAACAGTCAAGCAATAATATCACTAGGCCATTACCTCCCCCACACACACATTTGAGGTAACTGTCACAGTTCAACCAAGTCCCAGAAAATGCATTAAGATGCAAGTTTTGAATTTGAGTGGAATATTTGTAGACAACATGCCAAATTTTGAAGAATCTGTTCCAATCAAAAATAAATTTTTGAATCTTTCATTGTGGCCATGTGAGAATCCAAACTTTTCAATGTTACTTCATTGAATTAGCCTCCAGTTTATAACAAGAGTCACTTGCCAAGGTGTCACCTTTGACTGAATGAATCATAGAATCCCTACAACCCAACAAGTGTACACCAACTCTCCAAAAAGCAACCTACCCTATCCCTGCAATTCTTATGGCTAATCCACCTAACTTACACATTGCTGGACACTATGGGCAATTTAGTGCAACCAATCCACCTAGCCTACACATCTTTAGACTATCACAGGAAACTCCTACAGACACAGAGGAGAACATGCAAACTCCACACAGATGGTCACCTGAGGGTGGAATTGAACCTGGGTCCCTAGAGATGTAAGGCAGCAGTGCTAACCACTGAGCCACCATAATGGTCCAACATTATACAGTTGGAGATAGTTACTGGAAGTGAAGACCTTCCTATGGGTCAATAGTTAATGACTTGTTCTCCAATCTCCTTGGACGACAGCTACAAAATCTAAGGGGCTGGGACAAGAATAAGCTTGTTTCTGGGAGTTTATCAGCAAAAGCCTTGACTGGTTTTAATTCCTATCGATCGTTAAAGCACACAGAAGGCAAAAAAAGGCCAGAATTTTTTTTTTCCCATTTGTTCACAGGATGTGGAGTATCATTGATTGGGCCACCTTCTATTACCAATCCTTAATTGAGTTAAGTGTCAACCACTTAACTGTGGGTTTGGAGTCACGCATAGGCCAGACCAGGTGAGGATGGCAGATTCCCTTCTCTAAAGGAAATGAGTGAGGAAAATGGTGGTTTTCAAGACAATGATTACATGGTCACCATGGAATAGTTTTTCTTATTGAATTCAAATTTCACCATCTGCCACAACAGGATTCAAACCCGTGCCCCCAGACCATTAACCTGGGGTTCTGGTTTGTTAATTTCAGTGACATTAAGATTACCCCACCATTTCCCTGATAAAAATTCACTTCTTACAGGTCAAGGAAATTTCCCAGAAAATGAAAGGTGAGTGAGTGTGTGCATGAGTGCATAAATGGGCTAATTTGTTGTTAGTTCAGGGAACGTTCAAGCTCACCTCACCCAGTTTGTCCAGCTTAACGTAAGTCTCCAGCTTCCCAAAACCGATATCCGACTACAAAGAAGGAAATGCAAGTCAGTTCAAATAGCTTCACGGAACAAAAACATTTATCTAACATGAGCACCAGCAATGATTTCCTGTGGTCAAATGTTTGAAGCGCAGTTACCTATTAATAACAACAAAACAAGCTCCTGAAAATAGCAGCAATAAGGTAATCTGTTTTATTGATCCTGCTTGAAGGATAAATATCGATGAGGATGTATTCTCCTTCTCTTAATTGAACAGGCCATGAGATCTTTTATACCATCAGAGACATCACACTTGAATGTCCCAACTACAAGTCTGTGCCTCTTACAGATTAACACTTAATTCAGGAATCTCAGCCTAGACTGTGCGCTCAAGGGTCTTGTGTAGGACTTCAATGTGCAACCTAACCATTGAGCCAAGACTGGCACTAACTATTACTCCAAAGTTGCTAATGACAGAAAATAGAGTATGAGTTGGAGATACTGGTGCAATATTCAATGGTTTAATTGTTCTGTATTTGATTATGTTAGGCTGGTAAATGATCTATCATGACTGTGCTTAATAATTGAGCTTGGGTGACGGCTCAGAAGTAATGTAAGCAAGCAGCACAGAAAAACCTAGTGGCTGAGCAAGGGTAAGTATTGGGCAAGTATTTTGTGATTGCAGAGACGTTTTAAAATATTCTTGCACACATGGAAACCAGTGACAGCTCACAGAGTCGTAGAGTCACACAGCATGGAAACAGACCTTTAGGTCCAACTAGTCCATACTGACCATGTTCCCAAACTAAACTAGTCTCACTTGCCTACTCTTGGTCCCTATCTCTCCAAACCTTTCCTATTCATGAACTTATCCAAATGTCATTTAAACATTGTACCTGTACCTTCGTCCATCACTTTCTCTGGCACTTCATTCCACACACGAAACACTCCCTATGTAAAAATGTTGCCCGTCATGTCCTTTTTAAATCTTTCTCCTCTCACCTTAAAAATATGCCCCCTACTTTTGAAATTCCCCACCCTAGGGAAAAGACCCTTGCCTCTATAACTTCTATAAGGTCACCTCTCAACCTCCTATGCTCCAGTGAAAAATGTCCCAGCCTTTTCAGTCTATTTTTGTATCTCAAACCCTCCATACCCAGCAACATCCTGGTAAATTTCTTCTGAACCCTCTCCTGGTTAATAATATCCTTCCAATAACAGGACGACCAGAACTGCACACAGTACTCCAGAAGATGCCTCACCAACGTCCTGTACAACCTGAACATGACGTCCCAACTCCTATACTCAATGGTCTGAGCAATGAAGGCAAGCATGATAAATGTCTTCTTAACCGCCCTGACTACCTGTGATGCAAATTTCAAAGAATTATGTACCTGAACCCCTAGGTGTCTCTGTTGTATAACACTACCCAGGGCCCTACCATTAATTGTATATGTCCTGTCCTTGTTTGTATTACTAAAATGCAATACCTTGGATTTATCCAAATTAAACTCCATTTACCACTTCTCAGCCCATTTGATCCAATTGATCAAGATCTCTTTGTAATCTTAGATAACCTTCTTCACTCTCCACTATACCACCAATTTTGGTGTCATCTGCAAAATTATTTACCATGCTTTCTATATTCTCATCTAAATCATTTACATAAATGACCAACAAAAGTGGACCCAGTACCAATCCCTGTGGATCACCACTAGTCACAGGCCTCCAATTCGAAAAACAACCCTCCCCCACCACCTCTGTCTCCTCCCAGCAATTCTTCATTGCCCTGAGACGAATAAAATGTACAAAATTTGCAACAATTCACAATGGAAGGATCTCTACCCACTCTATATTGCTGTGGGTACCTTTGAAACATTTTCATTCATTGTCCTGTGATCTTTGACCGTCATGAGCTGTGAGGAGAAGAGTACACTTCAAAAGATACTTTTTTTTAAAATCCCATTTGTGGGATGTGGGCATCACTGGCTTGGCCAACATTTATTACCAATCCTTAGGGGGAAATGGGCAGTTAAGAATCATCCATATTGCTGTGACTCTGGAGTCACATGTGGGCCAGATCAGGTAAAGAAGGCAGTTTCCTTCCCTGAAGGACATTAGGAAACCAGATGGAGTGTTTCCCCAAACACTGTAGACTCCAAATTTCAAATTTTTATTGAAATCAAATTTCACCATCCGCCATGCAGAATTCGAACCCAAGCCCCCAGAGAATTACCTGGATCTCAGGATCAGCTGTCTGGTGATAATATCACTAAGCCTCACCTCCCTTGAAGGGGAATGTGCTTTGATCACAGCAGGTGGGGACAGGGCTCCCTGGATCATCACAGTCAGCACTGTATCACCAAGGTTTGGCTAACATTGACACAGGGCTGATGAGCGACTGTCTCAACAGACTGACCAACAGACTAACTAATGGCTGCTCTGGAATGTGGATTTAGGACATTATTAAAAGCTGTTCATCCCTTAGCATTTTACTTTCGCATTTTCACCTCCTTTATCTTTAACTGATTCCACCCCTTACTCTTAGATAACAAGGTGTAGAGCTGGATGAACACAGCAGGCCAAGCAGCATCATAGGAAATTTTCTGATGAAGGGTCTAGGCCTGAAACGTCAGCCTTCCTGCTCCTATGATGCTGCTTGGCCTGCTGTGTCCATCCAGCTCTACACCTTGTTATCTCAGATTTTCCAGCATCTGCAGTTCCTACTCTCTCCACCCCTTACTCTTGTAGCTTCTCTCTCTTTCTCTTGCCTTTCTTTCTTTCCCTCTCCCTCTCACCTTTTCCTTATTCCGTGACTCGCTTACAAGCATTCTCCTTGATCCAAAGGAGTGCCAAGGAAAAATATTGGCCTGAGACTTTCTTTGAAACAGGGAATGGAATTGTAGTGTGCTTGAGTGACATACAATCTTAGATCAGAATGTGGACTGCAACTGGATGCTGTCTTGTCCCACTGGCATTTTATCCACCACTTGGTGGCAATGTGTACCACTGCTATGAAATGGGATGTGACAGGAAATTGTGAAGTGAATTTTGACAATGTGAAGACTGAAAACAAATCATTAGCCCCTGGCACAGATTGACTTAGAAGCCAAAAAGCAACCACTGTATCAAAGCTAATTAAGCCTAGGCAGTTACATGGTAAGAGCAGGAGGCCATTCAGCATTTCCAATCTGCACTATCATCGTTTAATTTGATCTTTGCCAGCTTTTCTTCTACCAGTCCACCTTGGTTCTGTAACTTTTAGTTTTGTGTTGTTTCAGAAAGGTGTTCTCATTTAAAATTTTATAATTGACTCCCTGGCATCAAACAGTTTTATTTCAGGGTTGGAGGGAAAGTTCCAGATTTTGCTTTCTGTTCACTTGTGAGATGTGGCATCGCTCACTGGGTCAGCATTTATTGCCCGTCCCTAGTTGCACAATGTATAGCACCGTTCATGATTGCTCAGATACTGAAGCAGCCCATGTTCAAATGGAACAAGAACTGGACAATACCCAGGCTTGAGCTGACAAGTGGCAAGTAACATTTGTGCCACACAAATGCCAAGAAATGACTATCTTCAGTAAGACACAATCCAACCATTACCCCTTGACACTCAATGGTGTTACCATCACTGAATCCCCCACTACCAACATCTTCAGGGTTACCATTGATCAGACGAGCCATATAAACACAGTGGCTACAAGAGCAGGCCAGAAGCTAGAAATACTGCAGCGAGTAACTCTCCTCCTGACTCCTCAAAGCCTGTCCACCATCTACAAGGCACAAGTCAGGAGTGTGATGGAATACTCCCCACTTGCCTAAATGGGTGCAGCTCTTACAACCCTCAAGAAACTTGACACTAACCAAGACAAATCAGCCCACTTGATTGGCATCACATCCACAAACATCCACTCCCTTCATCACCAACAAACAGTAACAGAAGATGCACTGCAGCAATACACCAAGGATCCTTTAGACAGCACCTTCCAAACCCAAGACCACTTCCATCGAGAAGGACAAAGACAGCAGATACATGGGAACACCACCCCCTGCAAGTTCCCTTGCAAGTCACTCACCATCCTGATTTGGAAATATAATCATCGTTCCTTCATTGTCACTGGGTCAAAATTCTGGAAATCCACCCCAACAACATTGTGGGCTTACTTACAGCACATGGACTGCAGCAGTTCAAGAAAGCAGCTCGTCACCACCTTCTCAAGGGCAACTAGAGATGGGCAATAAATGCTGACCCAGCCAGCATAAACCACATTCTATGAATTAATTCTGAAGTCCATCATCTCAAAAGTGTATTCGTGAATGGAGAACATCTTGCACCAACCTGGCAAAGGCAAAATACCACACAGGCTGGAAAGGTGAATGATAATCAGAAAATGTTGTGGTGACTCAGGCAGTTAGGCAGCATCTGACAGATGGCCATTGGTCTGAAACAGAGACTCTCTTACTATATCCACAGATACTGGAAGAAGCCAAAGAGGCTTCTGAGACTGAACTGCATCAAGACCCAGGAGCTTCTCAATGCCCACAGCGTCTGACTCACCAGGGAAGCTCTCCGTGACGTTCTGCTCAGAGTCTTGGGAAGAGGTGGGCTCTCCAGCTGTAGCTTCTGCAGGAACTCCTCGGGTAGTCTGATATCCATAGGTAGAGAGAGCCTCTTGCTGAAGTCCTGATGGGTTTGAGGACAGGGACGTGCAAGGAGTAGACAGGAAAGGAAGAGAAAGAAGCACAATCAGTTCAAGTGGGGCATAAACATTCAGTGAATGGACTGAATGGCCTTTCTTCCTATTGCATAATCTGCACATTCTATGTGGTTGGTGGCAGCTATTCCCTGTGGGCAGAGCAGCAAGGATATGCTGATTGGGTTAGATGATGAGTCTGGGGTAGGATCAACTGCATAGACCGGTTGGGCTGAATGGCCTGTTTTAAGCTGCGCAGCAAATTCTATGCAATTCTCCTGCTGAAATATTAATCCAAATATTTCCAGTGAATTTCAACATAGATCTACGTTTATACAGCATCCATATCCCAGTAAATCATTTCAAGGCCTTTCTCAGAAACATCATAGAAACATAGAAAATATAGCATAGGCCATTTGGCCCTTCAAGCCTGCTCCACCATTCAATATGTTCATAGCTGGTCACCCAACTCAGTCCCCTGTTCCTGCTTTCTCCCTTTGGTTACTTTAGCTCTAAGAACTATATCTACTTGCTTCTTGGAAACATTCAATGTTTTGGCCTGAACAGTTTCTTAAGGCAGAGAATTCCACAGGCTCACTACTCTCTGGGTGAAGACATTTCTTCTCCTCTCAATCCAAAATGGCCTACTGCATGTTGGTAGACCATGACACACGGTTCTAGACTCCCTGGTCATTGGGAACATCCTTCCTGTATTTACCGTGTGTGGTCGTGTTAGGGTTTTATAGGTTTCGTGAGATTTAATCAAAGACCAAGTCATTTATACGGCAATATCAGGACTGATAACCAAAAATTTGATCAAAAAGATAGGCATTAAGAAGCATCTCCAACAGGGAGAGTAGAGGCTTAGAGAAAAGGAGTCTACAGCTTGGGACCCAGGCAGCTGAAGCCAATAGCACTGCAATTAAAATAGTGAGATGCAAGAGTTTGAGACATTTCAGAGAGTTGTAGGACTGGTGGATCTTACAAAGCTTGGGAAGATAAAGGCGATGGAAGGGTTTTAAAATACAGATGAGAAGTTTCAAGTCAGAGTGTTGCTGGATCAGGAACTAATATAAATGAAACGCAAGGCGTGATAAGCTAATGGGACTTGCTGCGAGATAGGATACGCTCAAAAAATGTTTCAAAGGAGCTCGAGTTGTTATAGGGTGGATGATAGCCGAGAGACCATTGGAATATTCAAGATCAGCAATACCACTGTGCCCCCTGTGTCTTATTAAGATCGTGTCAGGAAACAAGAGACCACATTGTACCTCCATCGAGAATCTGCGCTGCCGGTGATTCCTATAACGCAGGGGATTTGGAGAATGGCCATCCTCAGATGTCATCCGGTCCGTGTGTACATTCAAGGTCAGCGGAAGATTCTCATGTGCAATATCTAAATGAAGGAAACACAGGGATCAGTAAGTTGGACTGAAAATATATTTATTTGCCAGTGTGTATATCGTATTGTGATTCAAGATGACACTGTCACCAGGCGACTCTTTGCGAGCTCTCTACAGCAGATCTTGTTGTCACATTTCTTACAATAGTTCCGCACTTTTATAACTAAGTTCTATGTCTGTAAAATTACTAATAATGTTCTGTTAAATCTGCTTCGCACACCTCCTGCACAGCCGTAACCTTGTATGCCTCATTCTGTCTAAGCACCCTTGACCTGTATGTCCTTATCTATTATGATTTGCCTGTACTGCTCGCAAAACAAAACTTTTCACTGTACTTAGGCACATGTGACTACAATAAATCGATAATAAATCAAATCAAATCAAAAGCCTTTTGCCTGTTATGTAGTTTCAATTGTGGACCAAAATTGGAAAAGTACTCTTAAAATCTAGGGATTGTGGAAGAGATTACGGCACCTTTTAAAAGCAAATTGCCAACAGGCATTACAAGTGTTGTTTATACTGCTATTTGTTCAAGGAGTGATGGGGCATGGGGGAACTATACTGCTGGCAAACTGGAACCATGAGGTGTATGCAATGGGGGATTCGGCCAGCAACAAGTTGCTGATTGGTCTGTGGCGTGCTTGTCAGTTTCTATATGGACATAAGACATAGGTGCAGAGAAAGGCCATTCGGCCCATCAAGTTGGATCCACCATTCAATAAAAACATGACTGATCTGATAATCCACAACTCCACTTCCCAGCCTTCCCCACCCCCCGCACGCCCCAAAACATTCAATTTCATTACTGATTAGAAATCTGTCTGTCCATCTCGGACTTCAATATAGTTAATGACTGAGCCTCAACAGCCCACAGGTTCATTACCCTTTCGGGGAGAAAGATCTTCAATGATAATGACCTTCTGTCAGTCAACAACTAGATCTGGACAATATCCAGGCTTGGACTGACAAGTGGCAAGTGACATTTGTGCCACACAAATGCCAGGCCATGACCGTTACCAATTAGAGACAATCTAACCACCGTCCCTTGACATTCAATGGTGTTACCATCACTGAGTCCTCCACTATCAACACCTTGGGGGTTACCGTTGACCAGAAACTCAAATGGACTCACCAAGTTAACACAGTGGCTACAAGAGCAGGCCAGAAGCTGGGAATCCTGCAGCGAGTAACTCACCTCCTGACTCTCCAAAGTCTGTCCACCATCTATAAGGCACAAGTCAGGAGTGTGATGGAATACTCCCCACTTGCCTGGGTGAGTGCAGCCCCAACAACACTCAAGAAGCTTGACATCATCCAGGACAAAGCAACCGGCTTGATTGGCACTACATCCACAAGCATCCACTCCCTCCACCACCGACGCTCAGTAGGAGCAGTGTGTATTATCTACAAGATGCACTGCAGAAATTCACCAAAGAGCTTCAGACAGCACCTTCTAAACCCACGACCACCTCCATCTAGAAGGACAAGAGCAGCAGATATATAGGAACACCACCACATCCAAGTTCCCCTCCAAGCCACTCGCCATCCTGACTTGGAAATATAGCGCCGTTCCTTCAGTGTCGCTGAGTCAAAATCCTGGAACTCCCTCCCTAGTGGCATTGTGGGTCAACCCACAGCAGGTGGATTGCAGCAGTTCAAAAAGGCAGCTCACCAGCACCTTCTCAAGGGCAAATAGGGACGGGGCAAAAAAATGTTGGCCAGCCAATGACACCCACATTCCACAAATGAATAGGAAAAAAATGTGATAGGCTCCCAGCTGGAGTAGGCCATTCAGCCCCTCGAGTCGACTCCACCATTTAATATGATCGTGGCTGATCTCATCTTGGCCTCAATTGTACTATACTGCCCACTTTCCATAACCCTTCAATCCATTTAGGGAAAGTGCAGAAGGTTTAGAGGAGATGTAAGGAGAATCGGGTGGTGAGAATCTAGAACTCACTGCCTGTAAGGGCAGTGGAAGTAGAAACCCCGACTACATTTAAGAAATATTTAGGTGTGCATTTGGGATGTTATAAGGCAATGGGTCAAGTGCTGGAAACAGGATGAGAATAGTTGGTGGTTGTTTTTGACCAGCACAGATGCAATGACTTGAAGGGCCCTTTACTCTATTACTAATTAAAAATCCGTCTATCTCCTCTTTAATCTACTCAAAGTCTCAGCATTCTCCACACTCTGGGGTAGTGAATTCCACAGACCCTTTGGAGATGTAATTCCTCCTCAACTCTGTTCTAAAACCTGCTACCCCTTATCCTAAAACTATGACCTCCCCGTTCTAGATTGCCCCGCAAGGGGTAACACCCTTGCTATAACCAATGCCTTTTACACTTTTCTGGGATTTTGGAGTGCTCAGAGTCCACTTACTGAAAACTCAGAGCCCCAGGCTAAGTTCAGTGTGGACTGGAGGTAAGGCCTGGCACAATCTGGAGGTAAGGCCTGGCATAGTCTGGAGATAAGAACTGGTGTAGTTTGATGGCGAGACCTGGCACAGTCTGCTTGAAGGACTGTAATGCTGAACTTTTTATTTCTTCATTTTTTAAAAATTTATTCCTAAGTTTTTGTACCTAGGTACCTTTGTACCTAGGTATCTTTGTACCTAAGATAGTGCCGTAAGTGGCAGCTTTGTAAACTTTTCACTGTACTCATGTGAGAACGTGTGACAATAAACCTAATTCTCATTCTAATTCTGCAGCCTTTATCTCAAATTGTAAGTGTGTGGCACAATTTCTCAGCAAAACTATCTAAGCTTTCCAATGATCTCGAACAATCAAACCACCCACATTTACTATGAGGGAGACTGCAGAACAAGTGACTGACCCATCCTAATTTTAAAGTTATGGTCTCAAAAATTTAGTTTATGAACATCATAATTGTGAAACCATAATATTAAATCAGATGAAAGTGGCAACAAACTGTTTGTTACACATTGAAATAATTTTTTTTTTAAATCACACAAAAACTACCAACTGCATCCCTCATATCATTCCCCACTTCTATCTTTGGAATGAGATGATAATTAAGTCCCACCACCCACGTCATGTTATTTCCCAAAACAAGCCAGGGAGTTCTACCCATGTCCTGGCCAATATATCTGTCCTTTGATTATTATCACTGAAAAACAGATCATCGAGTCATTGTCATATTCCTATTTATGGGAGGCTTGCTGTGAACAAATTGATTATTGTGTTTCCTATATTACAATCCCTCACTCCGTGCCTCAAATATATGTAAATGTCATCTTGTACAAAGAAGAAATGGCTTTAGTTTGTTTACTGGATACATTCACACTCCAATGTTTGTTTGTTTCTTCATATGCTATTGTACAAAACCGAAATGCTTTAGTGACTGTGTATGCATATAAAGATATTTTTATGAATAAAGTATATTTTTGAAATGAAAAAAAGTGAGTGAACTTCACTTAAGTACTTCATGACTTATGGAACATCCTGAATTAGGATAAATGTTAAAAATGTAAGTCTCCCTTTTAAAAGTTAAAAAAGCAGTGCTTTACCCAAACAGGGTTTCCATCTGGGTCATGGGGAACACGATACAAGGGTGGGGTGACGGACACCTTGCCAAGCAGTTAGCTGGGGAGCTCAGCAATCACTGAATTAAATCAGAGAGCTCTCTATTACTACAAGTTTAAGTTAGAATAGAGGTGTTTCATTCTTTCATCAGCAACTACTGGTATAAATGGCTGTGATTAATTTTATGCACATAATTTGTAGCAAGGATCACAGAATCTCTTAAGTGCAGGGAAAGGCCATTTAGCTCATCAAGTCTGCACTGACCCTCTGAATAGCATCCCACCCAGACCTATAACCCAATTTTTACTGTGACTAATCCACCTAATTTGCACACTACAAGGCATTTTAGCATTCCCAATTCAACTAACCTGCGCATCTTTGGGCTGTGGGGGGAAACCGGAGCACCCAGGTGAAACCTGCATGGACACGGGGAGAATGTGCAAACTCCACACAGACTGCCGCCCAAGGGTGGAATCAATCTTAGATCCCAGGTACTGAGAGACAGCAGTGCCAACCACTGTGCACTGTGCCATCCTAAGTAACTATCCTCACTGGCTACGTTTTGGTGTAAAAACAATCCTGATTCCTAGGATGGGAATGTACTCTCCAGTGAAACTTACAAAATTATTACAGGGCTCAACAGGAGGGATGTTTGCCCTACCAGGGCAGGAGGGATGAATCTGGAACCAATGCACATAGTTGCAGAATAAAGGGGAGGCCATTTAAGACTGAGACAGAATTTCTTCAGCCAGAGGGTGGGGAATCTTTAGACTTCTCTAACCCAGTGGGATGTTGAGGTTTAGTTATTAAATAAGTTGAAAATAAAGATTGATACTTTTCTAGCTGCTGAGCACAGTGGCTCAGTGGTTAGCACTGCTGCCTCACAGCACCAGGTATCTGGGTTCAATTCCACCCTTGGGCAACTGTCTGTGTGGGGTTTGCACATTCTCCCCGTGTCTGTGTGGGTTTCCTCCAGGTGCTCTGATTTCCTCCTACAATGCAAAGATGTGCAGGCAAGGTGGGTTGGTCATGCTAAATTGCCTGTAGTGTCCACGGATGTCAGGGGTTTAGCCATGGGAAATGCAGGGTAGGGGGTGATTCTGGGTGGGATATCTTTGGAGGATCATTGCCAACTCAATGGGCTGAATGGCCTGCTTCAACAGTGTAGAGGTTCTATGATCTAGAGTTATGGGAATATGGATGATCAGCCATGATATAGAATGTTGAAGAAAACTTGAGGGGCTGAAGGGCCTACACCTGCTCCTATGCTGCTATTGGGAGACCCCACTTACACGTACTGCAGCTTCAGGCACAATATCTTTACAGTTAGGAGTCTGTAAATTGAAAGCAGAACACTGGCCCTCACTTCTCTCTCACCATTTGATAAATTTGTGTCAATATTAACTCTGTATAATGCTCACAATGTTCAGTTTATTTGAGCATGAATT